GTATGCACTCCCAGAGAGACACCTCGCGGCAGGTGCTTGTTGAGTCACCTGAACGCTCTTCCGCATCAGCAAAGCTTGTCCAACCTAACCCCTTTTGCCTGAATTGCGATTGGTGCCTTCTCGTTTGCTGACCCATTGCACCTTCAAGAATCCTTTCAAATGACAATCTTCTATCCGAATTCCAGCACGTCCTGAGAGTTTCGAAGCGCATTTGTTTGTTCATAGCAAGGGACTAAACGCTTAACTGGTTCCAACCTCTTCCCTATCGTATACACCAGCACGTTGGCAGTCAGGCCGACTGGGTATGACCTCGGGATCAGCAATTTATGTGGTCTAAAACCACCTCCTAACGGCACCTAGCCTCACAGAAGTGAGTGAGAGAGAGAGAGAGAGAAGCCTTAGAGCACCAGTCTAGATTCCTCACAGGCAGTTATGCAGGAATCAACTATTGATAGTCCGATGAAGTCCCCACCCGGGTCTTAATTCGTCCCGAGCCGTGATTGGGCTATGACCAGCTGATGGCTTTGGAGGCGCTAAAAATAGTTATTCTGGTCTCTTTTGTTCGTGAAAAATTCTCATTAAGTGAGAATAATATAAGAGCAGTTAGGCAAAAACTCTTTTAGACAGATTCTCGCGACATGAACAGTACAAAAGCGAACGATGGGTGCCTTAGGAGTGAACCAGATGCGGGGAAGTTGGAGATAGCCAATCAACGCAACAGCTTATCGTAGGGTCATTCTGACTGCAAGGACTGTAAGGAATTGTATAACGAGCACATTAATTTCACTTTCCTGACGTCATTAACTGTGGTAGCCCTCACCAGAGAAAGGCCTGACTTGGTGAATCCTGCCCATGAAGAGGTTGTATGCAGTTTGGTCTCCTCTATCCAACCATCATGTGCGTTTTGCTACTGGTGAGATTCTGGTCCAAACTCGTTAGTACTGCAACCCCTTAACAGAGGGAGTAAATCTGGAGATTTTTTACCAGTGGTTTAGCTTCCACTTCAAACGATCCTGCGATTGTGTACAGTAAAGTTTCACTTACTGACCTGCGTATAAGGACTTTTAAAGACATAATACACTTCTCCGACTCAGTTTCCTGTCTAAAGGGCGCATTTTTGGTGGAAAGACGAAGACAGTGTTGTCTAGAGGAGGTTCTTTTCATTTAATTTTTTTACGCCTCACACGTTGTTTGTTAACTAAAATCCTCATACATAATTTGTTTCGCAGGCTACCAACTCATACATAGCAAAGTTGCCAAAACTATCCTCTCCCCCTGCAAGACCCCTTCTGCGTCTGTGGATTTCTTGCTGCTGTAACCATGGTTATGGTCTATTATGAGTGGATGCTTCGTAGTCATGGCAACTGCGTTCTTGCCTGCTCCCTCATTCGTTGGTCCGCGATGAACGCAAAGTAATTGCGACAGATCATTAAACCCAACCCAAACAAGTGCCCGATTGAAGACCTGTTAAAAAACCTCGGTCCAGGCAATTTATAGCATTGACAAGATGGAAAAAAGTAGATACAGAAAGGATAAAGTTTTATTGTAGAGTTTTATTGTCTCCAAAGTTTAATTATAGATACAGGTATCTCAGTTTCGGAGGAGGAGGGTTAAGATGATGATGATGATGATGATGATGATGATGGTGGTGGTGGTGGTGGTGGTGGTGGTGGTGGTGGTGGTGGTGGTGGTGGTGGCGGCGGCGGCGGCGGCGGCGGCGGCGGCGGCGGCGGCGGCGAAGGGGGAGGAGGAGGTTGCGTATTGCTTGAATGTTAGGTTAATTCATGTGAGATTTCGAAATGACACCAGGTTTCGCCTCGCAGGGAAGGAAACCAGCAACTAGGACGCGGTACTCCCGGCTGCTGTTAGCATTTTACTGGTCTAGGTTGGCTGTCTGGAATAATGTTCGTATAGCAAAGCGTTAGGGCCGTCCCTCTTATCAACCAGACCTTTATCGTTCCGCCAATCGGTTGGATGCCAACACACAAGGATTCAGGCGTAGACCAAAAGTAACAGAGTCGCAAAAGTTTGCATGGCTAGATCGCAGTTGGTAGCCAGGCCCAGTATTACAGGTGGCTGGGGGGTTTGTTTACCGGGGCTATTTTGTGGGGCTCCATAATCACATCTGACCCATTTGGCTTCCGTTTTACGTTTGAGGTTAGGATTAGGGTACCGGTTAATGGTTTCCGATTTTCGGGTTAGGGTTATGCCTTCAGGCTTAGGTTCTCGGGTTACGGCTAGGGTTTAAGCGTACGATAAGGCTTCAGTATTAAGGTTAGGTTTTTCAGTTACGGCTATGTCTAAGGACTACGGCTACGTTTACGATTTCGGTAAGGGGTTAGGATTAGGGTTGCCTTCAGGGTTAACGGTTAACGTTTAAGGTTGAGGTTAGGGTTAGCGTTAAGGTTAAGGTTATGATTAAGGTTAAGGGCGCCGTCTGCTTCCCAATTCCTGGCTACCAACTGCGATCCAGCCGTTTGCATGGCTAACTTAACGATATTCTCCACCATGTAGATAATAGCGTACACAGGTCACATTACTGTTCTGTAGATCATTATCTAACTCAAACGAGCCGATCGTATTTAGGCGGATCAAGCAGCCGAAATCCGAAATCCCCAATTTTAATCGCATTTTACCCCCAAAAATCCTCTTATAATCAAAATGCCTCATCATGTTCCTTGATCAAAACAGTTCAAGGGTTGGTCTGATGCAAATACTCCGTAAGCGTCCCTGCAGCTCAGAATGGAAAAACGTCACGTTCACCCACAGAATTCACGCCTTATTGGCCTTACTGGGAGGGGGGGGGGAGGGCTTCGCTATCACCTGAACGAGGCTCAGTTCAGGCAGAAGGTGGCGTGTATGACATATGGACATTTATGACCAAAGCACGCATCACATGATGTGCACTCACAAGCTGATCCGATCACACAGATACTTCGGTCTTTGCAAAGAGGCATTCGGTATTAACGCAGCCGCGGTCATATGCCGCTGTGAAGTGCCACATAGTGACGAAGTCACAACTGCAACTTTCGAGCACGGGACGTGATCTTCGGTCAAGACAAATGGAGGCTAAGTACGAAACACTAACGCGGGCGTAGAGAGTAACAGTGCATTCGATCACGTGACACGGCTAAGTAAGTGCACAATGCACAGCCCACTGTGCACACAGAAGTACTCTCAAATCCGGAATTTACGAAAGAAAGCGTCGTTAACTCCACACAAGAACCCTGATATGATTAACCAAGTTGGTAGGTGATTACTGAAATTTCAGTCACATGTTGCTACAAGCCGTAAACAAACACTTGAGATGTAATTTACCATATCAGTGATCACTTACAGGTATTCGGACTGTCGGGTTAGTGTACTGTGAGGGTAATCTTGACTGAGGTTTTTATTGCCGGCCATTTTTCTGACTATCCAGGAGTCAATTCTAAAGAAGTATCTGCACTGGTCGAGACCCGAACGCTTCACCAAAACAGTCAGCAGAGAATAGCATGAGGGAAATTCGTTGGAGGGAAGAGCGTAGGACTTGTCAGGAAGCTCGAAAACCCTGGATATGTTGATAACTTTCTACCAACATGTTTACAGACATAAAAACCCAGGCTAGAGGTCACAGTACTCCTCTGTTTGGAACAGGCGAATTAGAACTGTGTACATCGGACCTTTGCGGGGCAGGCTTTTTCTGATAGGTATCCACAAGTACTTACGAGACTGGTTCGCGTGAGCGGACACAAAACCGAAATACACAGCTATTGTAGACTGTTGTGGCATTCATTTCCTTAGAAGGACTCTGGTGTATTTTAGTTGAGTTTTGTTTCTACAAAACGGAACTCCTGGAGGCCTAATAAGGACCAATCAAGTCAGGAGCCTAGCTGTCTCCCTCTTAAGGGTTTTAGGAGATATTTCCTGGCATTGACGAAACACGGAAGCAAACTCATAAACCAAATGGGAAAGTCGAAACTCCACTTCTGCAGAGCTCGCAAATGAGTGAATCTCTGTGACTTGGAAAAAGCGTCCCAGCGACCGCGAGATGTTTAAGCACCTGGGCAGAGGTCCGCCTTCCTGTGATGCTTGGAAGGAAGAGATAAAATGACAATTTGGAAAGGGCTTCTAGACGACAATCTGCCCAATATCAAAGGTACTTAAACGACCGTTAGGAAGACTCCGGCCCCGTGATTTCCGCCTCCCATTTAAACAAGTTTTGTCAATGAAGTCAAATATACGACCTCGGCTTAATAAGCCTCGTAACAGACCAGTCGGATAGTCGCTTTCTACAATTTGCCAAGACCGGGTGGCAAGCGTTTTGAGCGTATATTGTTCAAAACTGTCCCAGTTCTTAAGGTCAAGGCTCAAATGAACAGCACTACTGCCCGTTCGACGCCATTTTCTAAATTCTCTGCTCCACTCTCATAATAAGCCTAGAACAAGGCGCTGTTTTGTGTCATACAGTAGAATACCCTGTAACTACTTTGACTTTCAAACTTTCCTCAAGCGGACGCGGCCGAAAATTAGTCGAAAGTACCAAGTGAGGCTAATTCAAGTGATCTGCCTTTTGTCCAGCCTTTCTCGTTCTCCAAACCGTCTGCGTTTGATTAACAAGACATAGTGGAATTGTATGACGAAATTAAGTGCGAGGTTGGTTTGGTTGCGTTTTCTGTAAGTCGTTTCATCCGAGGAAGCGTTGTAGCTACAGGCCAGCCCCTACAGAAAGGCGAGTTCGTAGTCCCTGAACCACGGGCGTTAGCTTAGCTGAGGCAGAGCCGAGGACGCCGCCGCTGCCGCCACCACCAAAACTGACTACGACGATCGATATAAGCCTTGACGCAATTGGACCATTCTGTTGCTCTCGCGTTCATTTCGACCAATGAGAAGCTAACAAACAGGTCATACGACCAATCAGCACGCTCTGACGCCTACGCCATTATTCCTATAAATAGGACCGTAGATGCGCGAACTCGCCATGGTTACGAGTGTCCCGCTCCATCTCTGACTCTCTCGCCATGCAGATCTTCGTTAAAACCCTTACCGGCAAGACTATTACTCTGGAGGTTGAGCCCAGTGACTCGATCGAGAATGTGAAGGCTAAGATCCAAGACAAGGAGGGAATCCCGCCAGACCAGCAGCGACTGATCTTTGCCGGCAAACAGCTCGAAGATGGCCGCACCCTTTCCGATTACAACATTCAAAAGGAATCAACCTTGCACCTGGTCTTGCGACTCCGCGGCGGCATGCAGATCTTTGTAAAGACCTTGACGGGCAAGACGATTACTCTAGAGGTCGAGCCCAGCGACTCTATTGAGAATGTGAAAGCAAAGATCCAGGACAAAGAAGGCATCCCACCGGACCAACAGAGGTTGATCTTCGCAGGCAAGCAGCTTGAGGATGGCCGCACTCTTTCCGATTACAACATTCAGAAGGAATCGACCCTACATTTGGTCTTGCGCCTCCGCGGCGGTATGCAGATCTTTGTGAAAACATTGACCGGCAAAACTATCACTCTGGAGGTTGAGCCCAGTGACTCGATCGAGAATGTGAAGGCCAAGATCCAGGACAAGGAGGGAATCCCGCCAGACCAGCAGCGACTGATCTTTGCCGGTAAGCAGCTCGAAGACGGTCGCACCCTCTCCGATTACAACATTCAAAAGGAATCAACCTTGCACCTGGTCTTGCGACTCCGCGGTGGTATGCAGATCTTTGTGAAGACATTGACGGGTAAAACTATTACTCTGGAGGTCGAGCCTAGCGACTCTATTGAGAATGTGAAAGCAAAAATCCAGGACAAGGAAGGCATCCCGCCGGACCAACAGAGGTTGATCTTCGCCGGTAAGCAGCTCGAGGACGGCCGCACGCTCTCAGACTACAATATTCAGAAGGAGTCTACATTGCACCTGGTGCTGCGTCTTCGTGGTGGATAATCACATCGGGCTTTTAATCGTTTATTTTAAGCAAAGTAATAATTTGAGTTTTATGTTCAGTAGACATGCCTTTTGTCCTGTTTGGCCGTGGTAGTTCGGGGACGCCGGGACATGTTGCTCTTGCGAACCAGATGACGCTTTAGGGTTGGGGGCGGCTGCGTCAGACCCTGATTGTCCTCGTCGGTGGCCCGTGGCGTGTACCGGTGCAGATCCAGGGATCGGGTCGCCGTCACGGGGGTAGGTCCACGCTTGGTCGTGGTTGCCTTTGGTTCGAAGCCGCTCCCTGGTGTCCGTGCGGTGATTTTTCCGGGGCGGAGCTGTGGCTGGTTAGCTCGTCACACCTGGTATGTTCATGGCGGAGGTGTGAGGTCGTTGGGATCTGCTTATGTTTTCTGTCTAGTGCTTTACCGTGCATGGGGGGCCGAGGTGTATTCATTTGGACGCCCGTCACTCGGAACTGTGGAGGTCTGCCTAAGTCCTGACGAAGGATGTGCAGCTAGAGGGCTGACACGGTTCAATTGCGGAAGATGTGGTCACTGTTCCAGTGATCGCATCTCCTGAGCTGCTTCCCGGAACTCGCTTGTTCGCTTCTAACGACATAATTTATCAGGGCCCTAAGATTTCAGCCCACCAGGATGACTGCAACGGGTCGCAATACATGGAGACGACGGCAGGGCATAACCATAGTTATAAGACCGATAAGACGAGGGGGCTGTAGGGTTATCCACCTTCTCGGTCGGTGTCCACTGCACGGGACTGGGAGATTAAATCGTCCCGGAATCCCAGACAGTCGCAGTATTGTGGCATAGTATCGTCCCCCACGTATGGCAGTCTCGGAACCTAGATTAGTGTGTCTGGGGGATGGATGGAGACGCTCACTTCCGGGAGGGAGTTTCCCGAAACAGTCTAACTGGATCTTTGTCCTGCCGGTAGGCTGTGTTCTGTGTGTACCGGTCGGATTTGCCGAGAGGAGTGGTCTGCCCACTAACAACAGCAATGCCCGCCCAGAATGCCGCCATGCGTATAGGTATTTTCCAGTCAAGTGACGGTTAATTTGACAAATGCACACTATCAACTGGTCATTCTTCATACCTGTGGTCCCTAGACTATTAGTCGGCCGCCAGAAATAAGTACTCGTAGGCGACTAGTCGCTTCCTTCGTCCTCAAAACCTCGTTGTGATCCAACACTGCACGTCAGGTCAGCTGCGGTGAACGCACACCGGTCTCGCGTCGAGTTCGTGATCCAACGAATGCCCCGATTTATTGCCTCGAGACCAGGTAACTGTATCACCGTCGCCTTGCTCGCAACGACCAGACCTGACCTGGTATTCAAACTACAGTCATACGGCCAGTCAGATTGATTACATACCAGTCAGCTCAAGGTTCCGCAGCTGGGTTCACGATAGCAGATCAATGCGTGGTGCCGAGACTGGTAACGCCCATGGGTCGGACTATGTCCTCGCCCGTACACGCATGAAAGTTCATCCCTCATCCGTGCAAAAAATGTCACGACCTAGACGCCTCGATGTCGCAAAAATCCGGCAAGCCAGTACCGCCGAGGCCCTAAGCAGGGAAATCCAGACCTGTTTTACGACCCGAGCCCACGGAGAAGTCAGTAACCAGTAGTCGTCATTGAAGAATTCAGTCTATGGGGCAGCTGAGAAAATCCTTGGATACATCCAGCGACGCCACAGTGACTGGGTCAGCGGAAGAATCCTGCAGTTGTCTGCTCAGACGGCTCGAGCCAGGTATCGTAACGATGGCCGCTTCCGCCAACTTCGGAAGATGACGGCAAAATCGGCCAGGGATGCCCGGAGGCAATATTGGGCTGAAATAGCGACCTCCATGGAACAGGCCTCGAACGTTGGTGACACTCGAAAGCTCTTTAAACTGATCCGCCAAGTTAGCGGTAAGCCCTCTACACTGAGTGACTCTGTTCGTGACGTGAACGGCGGCTTTATTGCTGACAACTCGGCCAAAGTCGAGCGCGGGCGTGAGCACTTCGAGCACCATCTCAACTTTGATACCTAACCTACCTCTCCCTTGGTCTCCTCTTCAGCGGACTTTCTTCCCTCTCCTACCTATGCAGCGCCATGCGACCTCGCTCTGAAGGAGAAGTCGGCGATGCCATACGAAAGTTGCGCAACAAAAAGGCACCAGGAGAGGATGGTACACCCGCTGGAATCTTAAAGTCTTGTGTCGACACTCTGGCGCACTGGCTCCATAAGGTGACTGAACGAGCGTGGAGAGACGAGGAATCCTTGTACCTATCCTCAAGAAGGGAGATACGAGAACTACCGCGGCATAAGTCTCATCGACGTTGGTGCGAAGATCTTCGCTATTGTCCTACTCAGGCGATTGCCGGCTGTGCTTGACTCAAGGACGAGGCCCAACCAAGCCGGATTTCGTGCTGGACGTGGATGCGCAGACCAGTTATTCACACTGAGGCGCATTCTCGAATTTCGGCATAGCTACCAACAACCGACGGCCGTCTGCCTCATTGACTTTACCGCCGCGTTCGATTCCGTCCATCGGGAGTCCCTGTGGCGGTTAATGGCGCTAGATGGCGTACCGGCAAAAATCATCACCACGGTCAAGGCCTATTATCGTTCCACCACCGAGAGAGTTCTGGTCCACAATAATCTTACCCAACCGTTCGGTATTTGGTCTGGTGTCCGACAGGGTTGTATCCTGTCACCCATTCTGTTCAACTATGCTGTTGACTGGATCCTCAAGAGGGTGACGGTGGTGAGTTTGCACCCGGACACCGATTGACTGATCTCGACTGTGCCGATGATATCGCCTTACTTTCTTCAAGTTTTGGTGATCTGCAGTCTATGGTGTCACGGGTGAACGAGGTCGCTAAATCTGTCGGTTTATCCATAAACGCTGGGAAGACCAAAGTGTTTTCAAGCCGCATCCCAGACCAGGAGAAGGCACCCCTCGGGATTGATGGCTGTCAACTTGAAGGAGTTGACAGTTTTAAGTACCTCGGGGCGAGGCTGCTGCCTAATGGACAGAGTAAGGACGACATTGTCTCCCGAATCGATGCTGCCAGCTGCGTTTTCTCAAGCCTTCGGAAATGCATATGGAACCGACGTGACCTCTCCATCGCCACTAAGACTGTTGTGTACTGTGCATCTGTCTGGTCTGTCCTTCTCTACGGATGTGAATACTGGGCTTTGCGCGTGGAGTACGAGCGAAAACAGGAGGCATTTAACCACCACTGCTTGAGGACCATCTTTCCAGTGAAGTTCACCGACTTCGTCTGAAATGAGACAGTCCTCACTTGCTGCGACAACATCGCAAGGATAACTCAGGCCATCCCAGGAATACGACTGAGGTGGTTCGGGCATGTTCTTCGTAGTCCACCTCAGGAGCTCAGTGTTACTATCCTCTATCCGTCACCGCTACCCCATTTGGAGGGGTTGAAGAGGGGGGGGGGGGTTAACTCAAAACCTGACTCTATACGGTTCGTCAAGACATAGAGGTGGTTCTTGGGCCTTCGGTATTCGGTCTACGTCGTTGGCGAAGGGAATGGGTTGAGCTGTCCAGATCTGCTGCCTCGTATCGTCACACGTGGAGAGGTACTGTTCGTGACATCATCGAGGCCGGCTAGATCAGGCATGATCGCAGTCGTATCAAGTAAGTCAAGTACAAGTACGGCCAGATCAACTCGACGGATGGCGTCCCACGTCCTGCTAGTTGTTCCCGTTTAGCGCTGAACGGGTATGATCCCCGGTCCAAATGGTAGCGTTAAACACAGTAGCCGACCTTGAGTGACAGTTGGTTTGTTGAGGACGACAAATATGTTGGGGGTGACCGTGCTGTTATCCGTTCTCCTTCCCAACGAAGTTCTCGAGCACAATTCAACCTGCTGCCTTTTGTTAATTCCCTTTTCTGCTAGTTGAGGATAAAGGGAAAATGTCGAGCCCAGGGAAAGCGACTTTAATATTCTGGGTTCTCAGGCTGCCTTCTAAGTTCATCCTCAATGGCTGTAAAAAGGCATCATAGCGAACGATGGAGTTGGTCAATCTTGGGACTGGTATGTGTCACCGTGATCTGTTATCTTGTAAAATGGTTATTGCTAGAGATATTATGTCAGCGGGCAGGAAGTAGTTGTTCAGTTATCTTTCGTTTCCACCCTTACTTTTCAAGATTATTCAGTCATGCCATCCAATATTCGCACCTAGATTCTTACAGGGTAGTCATTGGATTTTTCCATATCGGCCTGCATAGTAGGCCTGTCGAGATTCGACAGCCATCAATAAGGAGCTTATAACAACTCAGTAGTGGAGAACTCAACGAGGTTTGGATCCGCTGCAAAGGGGGCAAGGCCTCAAAACAGTCGGTGCAGGCCAAAGGGTTTTTCATAATCTAGTAGTCAGTCCGCCGAAACACCTACTTAATTAACTTGCCTGGTTGTCATCCGGAAAACTTACTTGGGTTAGTTAGCCTATTGTACAGAATTAGTAGATTTTGCACGATGCGGTCGGCTGGGTACTTAAATGGGTGGGATGTGATTGCGTAACCCCACCTGATGGACACACTACTGGTGGGGTTGAGGTTAGGGGTTAGGGTAACTATTTCTCAACTACCCAAAGTACAGCCGCGCATTCCCAATGACGTTTCTTTTGCATACAACTACTTGACCCAGTCACCTGTGCGTTCCCGGCCCCACCTGTAAAAACCTCTATTACCACCGGTCCCGTATTACAGGTGGCTGGGATTTGTTTATTTCAGGTGGTGCTACATAACCACATCTGACTTTTGAATCATACAAATATGCGGAAAACTCATGACTCTCGGTCAGGGCATAGCATCTCAGTTTATCTTGTAGCTCGTCAAGATCACTGCGTTTTTCGCCTGGGTGACCAGTTAACTAACGGGTTTTCCAGATTTAAAACTGGAATGACAACTGGTAGGGTACTTTTTTATTGCACCAGCGAGTACCCAAGTAGCCCGGTGGCTACAACTGGCTGACCAGGTCCACAGTCATC